TGAATTTCCTATACTCCTTTGTTTGACTCAGTATGTTGCACATACTGTGGTATAAATCCTCAGATTAATCCAGATAACACACCATTTATTTTTATATGCATACAGCTATAACAATCACAGCCTGCAGCTTTGGCCTGTTGACCTGTCCCCTCTTCTTCTACTGTCTTGCAAGATTATTCTCTTGCCAAGACTTGTTCCTTGTGCCCAAGATAAACCAAACCATTCCACTAGGCACTAAGCAAACATTATGACTATGGAGCACCAACACTCCAAATCATTTTCTACAAGGCTGATGAAAAGATGACCCCCCCCCCAATCTTTTGCCATTGTAAAGGTACAGTAAAGAAATCTATGCAGTTCTTCCTATGCATCAGGCGTCGTGTGGTTATCAGTCTTAAGGCATTCCACGCCTGCGCAGAGAGAGAATCATAGAACAATGCATCTTTATACTACAATAACTTGATTATGCTAAACACCAGTGATGTATCCCTTAATAGCCACAAGATGGAACTTTAAACTACAAAATCCCCACACTCCAAATCATTTTCTATAAGGCTGATGAAAAGATGACCCCCCCCAATCTTTTGCCATTGTAAAGGTACAGTAAAGAAATCTATGCTGTTCTTGCTATGCATCATCTATTAAAGTTTTGCCACAGATTCTAAATTACACCATCTGCTCTAATCATTTGCTGAGTAAACACTGACCCACTTAGAAAATGCACTGGAATGGATACACATTTCTGCAGAGCTTCCGAAATAAAAGAGCTCCTTGCCAATAAGCAGTTTGAATATGGTTCTGACCTTCAGCTCTTGGGAGTGCCATCCTTTCTGAGTGGTCCCTCATTTTGGACTCTGAACACTGCCCAACTGGACACCTCAACTGCCCAACCATAGTGTGCACCAAATGCAGCCACTCCTTGAAACTGGATAGACACCCACAGATTTAATTCCATTGCTTTTTTCCATTTATTTATTATAAATAATAATAAATACAAGCATTTAGGTCTCTACAAAAGACCTATCAAGAAGTATTTCTTGCTGATCAATTTTACAGAAGAAGATGTTTTCAAGGTCATTGGAGGAGCATGATAGAAAGTAAGTAGGTATCAGAGCCAAACGAAAGAAAAAATGCTATTCTGTGCAATTAGCATCAAATTAGAGGCTTAAAAAGTACGTATCAGGCATAGGGGATCCATGCATATGGGTCTCTGGCAGGGAACATGAGGTCTGTTCACCGTCAAGACAGAGGGCTTTGTGTATGCTAGCTATATGGAATGAAAACTGTCCCATCCTTAAGGCCTGGAGATTTCTTTCTAGACCAAACAGAATGGATGGGGGCTTTGATCAGATCAGAACCACAGCAGGGGGCAAAGGATAAAAGGACAACTCTACTTCTTTTCTTAGAAGCCCAGTTCCATTCAGGAGTTCCATATGTATACTGATGTGCGCTGTCTCATAAGGCCTAAGACCCAAGCTTTCAGAATTTAACAGGTTGTTAGCAACAAGGTTTTCACAGAACATAAAATTCCTTATACCTCATGTTTTCACTCTGGAGTAAGAACTTTCCCATAATTAGTATTGTTTCTTCAGTCCAGTGAATGGTAAGAATGTAGTTTGGTATATGGCCAAAGTCTGCCTACTACAAATAATCCCACTGACTTCTATGGATAGCCAGCTATTTCATCAGATATGGGCACTAGCTGAAATCCAGTAGTAAGTCACAACTAGGCCCACTGAACCACTGAAGACTTGGCAAATCAATTCCTCTGTGTGTTTCATGGATTCCTCAGACCACTTACCACCGGATTGCAGTCACTGAGTCAGTCCTGAATATTTTACAAGGTAACCACACTCTCAACTACGTTGCCATCACAAAGAGGCCAAGCTCCATCAAAGAACTATCCAATTTAACAGACTAGGTTTTTCCCTAGAACACATATTCACAACATCTGTTTGTTATTCTGGAGCCAACAAATGATAGGAATTCAGCCATTAGTGTCAAAAATTTACAAAGTGCCAGGTGTCCACCTGTGCTGTATTCTATCAATGTGTCTTGAACTTCAGGTCTAACTTAAAATTCCAAGTGTGTGTTCACTGCAGAAAATACCACACAACTGCATGTTCATTTATTGCTGGATTAATTATATAATGGAAGAATGACCAGGATGCCTATGACCAAGTTCAAGCTGTGCAGTGAATACTGTAAAATATTATTGCTCAGCATAACGAGCATTACACTGAGGCTCCATAACCATCATGGCACCACAGAATAACTTCACTGCTTTTGTACTGTAACAGGACGGTCCCACTTCTGTGTTCACGGATATTGTTTGGTATCCACTAGAATGTGTTTGCAGTTTTACTGGCATAAAATATTCCAATAATGCAGATTGCAGATATTCGCATCTTCTGTACAATCAAATACCATAGCATTTTCCAATAGCACTCTACAACTATGTATATTTTCTACTAAATGGAAGCTTTGGCAATGCAGAGATTGTTGGATTCTATTTCCCATCATACCTGGCCACTGATCAGGTTGCCAGTATCCTATTGTGCCATGAGAAAGCTGTCACAGTTAGTAGAAGATTGCCACTAATTAAATAGTGCATTTATCAATTTCAGGGTATGCATGATTCATATGTAATTAGAAAAAGACACATGCACCCCATTATCAAAAAAATAAGCTAGCTCCCTGGCAATGATGTCATTCTCACTGCACATGTGGGGCTTCACAACAGGATACTAGCCAACACACATAATTCTAAATCCTGGTTTCAAACAGATTGTGAATTTGAAACAATCATATTTCAGCTGAAGTAGAAGCTTCCGCTATTGCAGTAGACTTGAGTTTTCAGAAGTAACATATGATGCAACATTCATATGACGAATCTCAAGTCTCCTTTTTCTGTCTCATGTGTGTGTGTGTTTGTGTTTTATATTATTAATTTTTAAGCTTTTTTGGCAGCAGTCACTCATGGGAAACCTGCAGTTCTTTCTAACCACACCCACTGAAGCTGGACATATTTTTTTTCCCTAAGCTTTGCCTAAGAAACTTCTGAATTATTTTGCATATACTAACTTAGACTACATGATAGTTGGCAATAGCTGCTCAACAGGTGTTCATGCAAAAATGCAAACAGTCATCATGATGTTGCATGCTGTTATCTTTCTCACCATGAATACTGGCCAATATACCCTTGCACATACGTATAGCTAAAAATATCATGGGTCAAGTGGTCACAGCAGCAGAATAAACTAAAAAACATCTGAAAATTGCACATCATACTATCAACTTGGGCACTCACCCTGTTGACTGTTCTAGCTGCTGGCAAACATATAGCAACAATGAAAAGTCTGCAGGACTAGAAACTGGTCTTTAAGAAGTCTTTTAGCATTTAATCTGACCAAAAATATTGTTTCTGCTGAGAGACTGGGTATAAATAAAATAAAATAAAATAAAATAGAAGAAAACAAAACAAAGTAATGCAACATATGGTTGAAAAGACTGGAACCAGTCCATTTTAATAAGCTATTGACATTTTTCATAATAACCACATGGAAATTAAAACAGGCAAGATTGTGCTTTGAGTGAATATAGTTTATATTTTGAAGAATCCAGTGACAGTATGCCTGTTTAGCCTCTTGTTCCACAACTGTGATCCTTAGTCTTGCATGCCTCACCTATTTCTCTCTTCTTCTGGTGGATCTACAAGAGAATCAGACCTTTTCCCTTCCATTTCTGATTAATCACAGCTCATTATATCTGAATCTGAACATTATTCTTCTTAACTATAGTTTACATAAACAACCCAGCTTCAAAGCTTGGATGATGCAAAGCTTTCAGCTAATCATGCTTAAGATGAATCACAGTTTAGGTCCAGGCATAATGCTAAAGGGCTGCTCATAAAACAGGAAGCAAAAGCCTCAAATTTCTTCCTTGTGGTGTCATGGCAGTGCAAGCCATGGATTGGTATGGCTCATTCTCTTCATGACAGGTCTTATTTTTACGGCCCAAAGCAGTAATAAGCTGTGTATGAATGAACTGCACCAGATATTTTTGCATGTGTAAACGAATGAACAAATGTGTGATAAGGATAAGAAGTAGTGGTGCAATCCCACACTGGGATTTATATCCTGCGCTTCTAATGCACATGCATGACTCAATAGCAGTTTACAAGCGCAGCTTATGTTGAGTAAGACATCATCTAATGAAGTAACATAATAGAAATAAAACAATATAGGATGGAAACAGGTTCAGTGCATTAATAAAAAACTTGAAACGGTACACCATATAACATGACATCTGCTTAGCAATGCAGAAGCTTGCTGGAAATTTGTATATTTTCACTAAATGGTGGGAAATAGCAAAGGAAGAGGCAAAACCACCACCGCCACCATCTCATACGGGACAAATGTATTCTTTAATCCGGGTTTTTTGCACAGGGTAAGCCTTGGTTAAGGTATGTACAGACAAAATTATTGATCAGACTGTATCTCTATGTAGAAGCAACACAGAGCGTGGGAATGAGATGTGTCAGGCAACACCGAGGTCCCAGGATCCATTGCTTTCATAAGAATTTATGATCTCCCTCTCTCCTGTAGTGACACACACACACCCCACCATGCCTTCAAAGGAGGGAGCAAAAAGAAAGTCTGTGGTGATGTTAGATACCAAAATAAACCAGCCAGAGATAAGGATATCTGCACAATGCCAAAACATATAGAAGCATGAGAGCTCAGTTAACAGGCAGAATATAAACCTTGCACAATGGCAATGTACAGAGAGTACATGCATATCTTGGACATGTGTAGGATCTGATTGTTGCAGGGGAATGGGAAACACAGAGCACGGATGATCACTCTTCCCCACTCCACACATGTCTGGAAAGTATTACAGTTTCTTTTGAAAACAATGCTGTTACGCCCCTCGGTATCATAAGATACAGATTCACACATGCAAACATACGCATCACACATACGCCACTCTTTGCTGACCTTTGGCAAGCGCTCAGGGTCGCCAGGGTGTCGCGGGATGACTTTCTGTAACCTTTGGAAACCATAGTCAATGGTGGGTTCATTCAGAGCTGAAACAACAAACATAACAATTACATACAATAAGATAGAAGACAAAGTGTTCCATTGGCAAGTATATTAAACAGCAATGTTTTGCATATCTGGAAACTATCAGGGCAAATTGCCTCCTTGTTCTTTTTCTCTTAGATCAGCAATGACTGGGAAGCTACAGTTCAAACACTGTTTGAGGTTAGATGTGAGGCTCTGGTTTGAGTATCTGTGACAAGGTGGCAGCACGTTCTGTGGTTTCTGAATAGATGTTAAGTAAGAATCAGCTATAATCCTGGAAGGTTTGATGCAATTCATTTGGCAAGCACCTTGTTTCCTGCTTTTCAAGTTCTTCTCCCCCACTGTTGTGTTGTTAGATGGATTTCATCTTAAGAAGGGGGCACCAAAAAGCCCCCATTGCTTGTGGAGTCCACTATGCATTTGATCTTACTTATAGAGCCATGCATATTTTCCTTATGTAGTACAGTATGTGTTTTAAAAACAACAAATAAATAAAATGATCTTGTCCCAGCCGCAGCCATCACTGGTTGCTGCAAAACTTACAAGGAATGAATAGTACAACAAACCAGGAGAAATGTTTTTTAAAAGACTGCATATAACCAGTTATTAGTTCTTCACGAGATGAGTGTTCTTGCTGAATGGTGATTCTACACACAGCTGATATTTAAGGAGTAGTTTTACAGTTCCAATCAGCAGCACCCCCCCTGAGTTTCCATGGCCAAGAGGGAATTTGAACCCAGGTCTTTTGAGTTCTAGTCTATCACTCTATCAATGGTGCCACATTGGCTCTCTCGTCTAATCAGTACTGAGCAGCATTTATAAGGGGCAACTTGGAATTACAGTAAAGTGACTTACCCATTCTCTTAGGGGTAATGCTAACATTTTTAAATATGTTTCAAAAAGAAATTTAAAACAGGTTTAAACACTGAAATAGATATAATCAAACCCAATACATAAGATGCATATGTCAGTGTCATAAAATAAAACAAACAAACAAACAAAAAGTCATCCTCACATCATCAACAACAAAGCCCCAGAAGTGATAAATCCCAGAAAACCAAATGGAGGCATAGAAAATTCTAAAACTATTCATACTTTCCAGCTGAAGACACCGCTTTAGATAATGGCTTTGCGATTTGAACTCAGAGCTGACTAAAAAATACAACTATTTCATATGACATTTGAGATCAATGAAACGTTTTTGCTTCACAATTCAGAAAGAGTAAGAAAGTATATGAAGATGATGTGCTGGCTGTTATCCTGAGATTATACAAAGAAAAGAAAGTAATTATGTGGCCCTTGCAGAAAATCCAAAACCAAGGGTGAACAGGACCTTTATCAGACAAGGAATAAAAACAGGCAAGATTTCAAGTCCTGATGGACTGTTCATTAGGCTGAGCATTGCAGAACTTGTGAGAAGGGAAGAAAAACAGAAGGGCTTAGGTAGGCTCCCTCCGTTCTATTGACATCTGGACACCGGTCTTTTCAGGCGGGTTTTAAATAACCATAACAGAGCCCTTGGATGCTGGTTTTTAGCCAAGCAAGTTTGCTTTTAAAGTTTTTAATTGTTTAATCCCTTATTGTATTCTAATTATTCTAATTATAGTTTAATTGCTCTTTAATGTGCAATTTATTTATTTTATAATTTTGTTTTACTCTTGTGAGCCGTCTTGGGTCTCTTCATTAGGAGAAAGGCAGTCATTTATTTGTTCCTTTGTTTGTTTGTTTAATTTCTATACTGCCCATCTGGCAACCCAGGCCACTCTGGGTGGTTTACGAAATACCATAAAACAAACCATAAATACAAACAATACAAAGCAGACAATAAAAAATAATCTATACAAAATCAACAGATTAAAAACAATATCAATAGAACATTAAATTAAAATAAAGAAAGCATGGTGGAGGTGGAACGTTAGTGAATTCTGGTTGTTTTAGCGCTATTGTATCAGATGACGTAGAGTCTGAGAAGGCCTGTCTAAATAGAAATGTTTTTAATAATCACTTAAAAATTCCCAATGAACGAACTAGGCAAGTATCGGGTCAGACAGCATTCCATAGTAGTGGGGCTACCGCCGAGAAGGCCCGGTTTCTGGTTACTGTTTTCCAGGCTTCTCTCAGGGTCAAAGCTCTCCGCCGTCCAGCCTACACATGATACTAACTATACGAAGTCCCAGATTCATTCTGGCCAAATGTTGAAGCTTCAGGTCCAAGTTTAAATTAAAATCCCACAATGGAGACTGCAAAATTGGTATCAGTTTGAAGGATCAGATTTCACCTCAGGGGACACAAAATCCGTCCTCTTACTCTATGCCTACAAATAAATGGCTGATAGTCATTTAGTGACTTCTCTGTTGTCTTTTTATCTGTTGTATGCAATTCTGGGCATCTGATATATGGCATGACTCTTTACTTCTAATAGCCTTGATGATGAATCGCATAAATGCTACCGTATTGCAGTTAACTTCTGCAAACAGCCAAGCTTCAGTTTCCCCCATCTAGTAATAAGGGTAAACTGAAAACATAAACCGTGGAAGGCTAGGCAGTTTGTAGTTTTAAGATTTTTATTTTTAACAAGTCACATCAACTTTCATTCATTCTTTATGATTACTTAGCTATATTTCTGGACATAGCAATCCTTGCCATCTCTCTATTCAGGTCCAGGCTTCTCAAGAAGCTGTGTAAACTAGACTGCTTCAACTGGCAAAATCCATAAACGTTTCCCCCCCTCCAAAAAGGGGGGAGGGTTGAGGTGGGACAGCTGTGTTAGTCTGTGGCAACATAAATGTTAAAGAGTTTCCTGCATACCACATTTGACTTTCATGGATTGTAGCCCACTTATTCATCTATTATCATTTTTTTTCTATGCGTCTTCGGAGAGCTTATGCCAAACAAAATCTATTACTTTTTAAGATGCTAACAGAATCCAAAGGAGTTACTAATTCCTCCCTCTGCCTTTCAATGACTATATTTCTGTGTTAGGTAAAATAATGCAGCACTCAAGTTCAGAACAGACTGAACTATCTTCCAGAGTTTTAGCACCAGGTGCTGCTATATTTCTAACTTAAGCTAGAAATCTAAGTTAAAGGTGTTATTATTAGCAAACAGACAAATATACAGATATAAAGACCAAATGTGTATAACACAGAGAAAATACATGGAGGCACCAGTGAAATTCTGGATCCACTCGCTACTTTACAGAGATGAATTAATTACTTCATTAATATACCTTGCATGCCTTTGCCATTGTTTTTAATGAAATATATATTGAATACAACTTGTAGAACACAAAAATGTGTTCTTTCATTCCCAATGTCCCATAAAAGGTTTTTCTTCTTTATAAATGGAAAAAATATCAATAAGATTAAAAAAAAAACACTTTTACACTAACAGGAAGTGTTTGTGTTTTTCACATCCATCTTACATTAAAAACAAAGTTACCACATACCATAGTTAAAATGCATCCTAAATTTCAGAAGTGTATGGAAAGTACTACTGACTTTAAAAAACTGAATTAAATTCAAATAGGTCCCAAGGCTAATGGAAGCAATTTGTGTACCAACCCAAACTGACTGGCCTACTTTTCAAAATACAGGTATGACAATCTCATGGTTCTAAAAGGACATTTAAATTGAAAGACTGTGAATATAGTACATAATTATACCAATAGCACCCTTTAACTTGTCAGCGTACAAATCTAAAAGGCTATCAATCATTTCTAAAGAGGAGATAAACCTTAAAAATCTTTGATTGACTGAGCTTCCTTTTTATGTTTTTAAAAAAAGAGGGGTGGGGGAGGGAAAAAAATGGATTAAAGTGGCCAGAAATCCATTTACAAAAGTACATTGTTTTACATAGGTGAGTAAAAAGCCAATAATTACATCTCCAAAAGACATCTAAATCAAAGTAAGTACTTTCCCTTTACTTATGTATTTCAAGTTGTGCAGAACTTTAGGCAACTTTTATATTAAAATACTTTTCTAAATGCAATGCTTATTGAAGTAACTAATAAAATAGCATTGTCATTTAAGGTAATGTAATCATTTTTGCAAATATGCAATTTAAGCCATTTTCTCCTATTGGAACAGTAAACTTTCAACCTGTCTCTTGTGTGAATTAACTAAAATTACACCCAGGTGTACAAAATCTGTCTATCTATGCCTGCATATGAGTTAAGGCACAATATTTATTATTCTTTCCATTTTATGAATTACTACTTAAACCCTTGAGGAAGAACTTCCTTTCGGATTAGACATGAACAGAGCAAGTCTTGGGAGCTCTTTATACTGTACAGTGTATTTTGAGTTGTAAGTAATAAAACCCAACATATTGAATACAAGAAAAATTTTAGACATCTCTAAAATTCAGAATTCAAGATTTCACTATTTTTATATTTTAAAAACGAAAGCTTAAATATACAACAATTTTGCTTTAATATCTTTTAGAACAATATTTAGAGGGAACTCGATGAACTGATAACTCATCCTTCTTGCACTGAAAATAAACACACTGGATTTTCTATTTTGTTTTTGTTTTTTTTCATTTTGAAATTAAAATGGAAAGGATTGTCTTTCTTTTTTTCCAAATTTTTCCCATAATGAACTCCTGCTGTATCAATATAACTTTGGTTGTTAATTGAATGACTGCCTGACATACAGGAGAGAGGAATTTGTATCTCAAGCCATGCTGCCAACTTACATCAGAATGATTGACACTTAATATCACCAATTAAAAGAACCTGTTCAAATATCATGTTGAACACCATAGTTTGGATTAGTCTTGGGAAACCCGTTCCGATGCAGGGGGGGAATAATTGAATTAGACACATTTTAATATTATTATTTGAGGAAAAATAAACACGGTATATGGAAGCATTTTGGAGATAAGCACATGCCCCAAGACAATACAACATTGGATTATTTGTTTCCTTTCATTTATGCTTTCATTTCTCTCCTCTCTCTGTCTTGCTGATTTTCACATATTTTTCTCCATTACTTTATTT